AAGAGCTGTGAATCTGACGTAAAACTCTCTCAAACTATTCCTTCCTTCATTCATTGGTACCTCCCCAAATCAAAGCCTTGTTACTTTTTTTCATGATACCAGGGATTTGCACTGAATTACATCACCAGCCCATTTTAATTTTTTAAAATTTTTGAGACAGGTCTCACTAAGTTACTGATTTTCCCACACTGGCCTCTGGGTTTGAACTTGTGATCCTCATGCCTTAAGCTCACACAGTGATTACATGTGTATACCACCAGGCCTGGCTGTCTTGTTACTTCTCACCTAAACAATTGCAAGACCCTTCTACCTGCTGCTCCTCCTGCCTTGGATCTTGCTCTCTTCCAGTTTAGCCTCTTCCAGTTTAGCCAGGTCACTAGAGTTAATCTTCTAGATACACAAGTCAGATCGACTCCTTTTTATGCCTCAAGACCACCAGTATAAAACGCCAGTGCCTCATTCAGCCTGGTAGATAGCCTCCAAGTCTGCCCTCTGCCTTCACCCCACTTTACACAGGCCACTTTCTTTAAAAGTACCAGTTTCTTGCCCCTAATTATTCATTTGTGCTGGAAAGCTTCTTTCTTAGAACTCTTCCCTTTTCTGGACCTGCACCCATGAGCAGTCTATCAGCTTTCCTAGAATTTCTGTAAAGTTTTCCTAACTTGACTGCATTTGTCGCTTCTTTCCCCAGAGCCCCACAGGACTCTTCCTTCTATGGGTACACATGGGTCCTTGTTCCACACTAGCTAATGGTCTTGTGATGGCAGAGGAGACATCCCACTGAGCAGAGTGACAACATGGTGCAGCATCATAGGTCCTGCGTCTAGTTCAGCTGAATCTAGGGCTCGTAAGCAACAAGACTGGCAGCGCCCAGTCAGGTAACACTAGGGAGGGATGCAGGCTGAATGGGGCCTAAGGTGCACAGGAACCTTGGGCCCACCCACAAGGGGGCAGCACTCCTCAGTTTTACCTCATGCCTTCACTGTGGCCAGATCTCAAGATTTTGTTTTAAATGCATGGGCAATTAGTAAATTATATTATATTGGTGTTGGGAATTGAATTAAAAGTGTTGAAGATGCTAAGTGTGTGCTCTACTACTGAGCTACATCCTCAGAATCTTAAATTATTACTATTATTATTATTTGGTTTCTTGTACTAGGAATCAAACTCAGGATCTTGTACTCTCCAGGCAGGTGCTGCCACTGAGCTATGTCCCTGGCCCTCCTTAAATTATTCTTTAATCTATTCAGAACAAGAAACCTGGCTTCAGCCACCCTTGTTCATTCAGCCTATCATTTTGCAAACAATCTGTGTGTGTGTGTGTGTGTGTGTGTGTGTGTGTGTGTGTGTGTGAAATGAATGAACAAACAAATGAGTTAATTGTTTTGGATTCAAGTTTCCAACAGCTACTCTAAATTTCACAGATGGGAAGAATTTATAGTCCAGTTGTTATTTGGCTTGCTTTTTTGGTGTGAGGACATGAAAGAATCAAGTTTTGTTATTTATCTCTTTGAGAATGAAGCTCAACCTCCTTTTACTTAGTGACTCTAACAATATCAAGTTTCCTGGGTAACCTGCAAGCCTTATGAGCAGGGCTCTAACCTCAATGTGGTAACATCCTCTCTAGGACATGTGGGTCACATAAGAAGGAAGGGAGGGCCACAGAGGCCACAGAGTTTGTTTCTTCAGTGGTTGACTTACTTAGTGTGGTTACCTCTTATAAATAACCTGTGCAGGGGATGGCAAGCCTTCAGTTTTTGCCAGCTTCTCCTGTCACAGCCTATCTGGCTTCACCTCAAATAGGAATGACTGGAGGAGATGCTGAGAACTCTGAATTATAATTATCAAGGACTCAAATTCCTGATAGGACCTGGCTCTTCCCCAGGTACTCCTGTGACTGGCTATGGGCTGAGGGCTGGGAGTTACCCAGAGGCCTACACAGTGAAGTTCCATTTACTGCATTGTAAGACAGTAGAATGTGAGCAGCTATTCAGTTCCCTGGCAGTCCTCCTACTGACAGGGGATGGCTCACATCTGAGTTCCTCTCCAAGCTACATTTCTTCCCGGGGGCCAGCCTGTGTCCAAAATCCAGCCAACAGATTATAGGAGGCCCAGCTACCTGGTCTCATTTGGGACCATCTGAAGGGCAGTTGCAATTTCAGAGTTCCCAGTAGGATGGGCCATGGTCTCTGGTACAACCATATTACAGTTCAACTCTGGCCTCTGGCTAGTCATGCCTCTCTTACTCCCTCACTGGGACTGTACCAGAAGGAGCTCCCAAAAAGCCTCCTGCATGCAAATCTATCAGTATATCTCTTGAAGAAGACAGCATATAACAGTCTCCTACCTTGGCCTCTTTTCTTTTATTGCCCTCTCTCCACTGGTGACTGCAAGTACTTCAGATTCTTCTGTGAGCACCACGGATGCTTCCCAAATTTTTCCTTTTGCCATGGCTGCACTTCTAGTTTGTCCAATTATATTTCCCAGAGCCTGTAGGACATCTTCAACTGGGTGTCTATTTTTTTGTTTTCAATTGATATATTTAAGACAGAACCCTCTCCCACTACCTTAATCCTCCCCTTTTCCTGATTTCTCTATTTCTTTTAATACTATTGCTATGTCTGGAATCCCAGGCTGGAGAGAACCCAGTGTCACTTTGTCCAGCCTCTTCCTTAGAGCCATTCAGTGTACCCTTGATGGCCAGAGTACAAATGCCTGCTTCCTCTCCTGGTGTCCTGCAGTGGGCCCAATAAGCTCCATTTCCTGCCAAGCCTCTAATCTAGGGCTTCTTAATATTTTTATGTCCTGGATTCCTTCAATGATCTGATGAAACCTATGCACTCCTTTACAGAATGTTTTTACAAGTGTAAAATAAAATGCAGGGGATTATAAAGAAAATCAACTGGCTTTAAATTATCTATCTATCATCTTTTTAAAAAACTTGTGACATAGTAATGTGTTTCATTAACACATTAAGTAACAAAACCTAGTGGTGGGTCTAGTAACCACCAAGATTTTGAAGTAATCATGAATGGAACAGGATTTCAAGCTATCTGCACCAGCAGTAATGAGGTATAAAAATACCTGTGGTTCCTATTAGAGACAAATTCACAGGTACTGCTCACGCTACTGCAGTGTGGCCTGGGTTCCAAATGTTCCTCAATGGCCCTGCCCCCAGTAGAGAAAGCCCAGCTCAGGAAAACTGGAGCCGAGGAGACTCTCCTGCCTGGAGCAGGAGAATTGACCAGCTCCTCCTGTACTTTTGTGAATGATCCATTTCCAGATAGAAGCCATCATGAGCCACCCTGCTACTAACCTCTTTCACTTTCTGTGAACCGGTCTAGTCTCCTAAAATACCTTACCCCCATTTCCTAGGCTGACATACTGCAGGAAATGCCAGCTGCCTGTGGTTGGTGAAGAAGTGCTTTTTTCTGTTAGTTTGATCTGTATTCTCATGAAAGGGATTAGTTGCTAATTGCGAAAACAATATTCTGTTACTTTCAAATTATATCTCTTAAAAATAATGAGTACTTACCCAGGATTATTTATTATAGTGCTTCATACTCTATAAATATCTTTTATATTAGGTTGAACTATACAAAATTGCTATTATTCAATTGCTTTGAGCAATTTCATAGGGTTTCTTTTATTCCTCGCCACATTCTTGGATAGGCATTTCTAGCCCCACTTTATGGTTTTTTGTTTTGTTTTGTTTTGTTTTGTTTTTGAGATAAGGTCTCGCTATGTAGTTCAGGCTGGCCTTGTACTTATTATGTGGCCCAGGCTGGCCTCAGATTTGTGACTATCTTCCTGCCTAAGCCTCCTGAGTTCTGGGATTACATCTGTGTGCCACTAAGCCTGGCCCTTAGCCCCATTTAAAAGAGTGGAGTACAAAATCTTGGAGGCCTTAGTAATGTTATATAAATAGGACATAGCAAAGTTGAGACTTGAACTAAGTCTTCAGATGCCAACCCTCATGCCCTTGATTCTCCTGGTAGGATAATTCAGCCTGAAAGACCCTAAAAGCAATAATGTGAGGAGTGACAAGGTCATGAGACCATTCTCTTAGCCTTCCTTCAGGAATGTGCTGGCTGGCTTTCCCAGTGATCTTTTCTTGGAGGAGATCCGTGGATGCATATATGCCTGCAGCAGAAGGCTCCAAAGTGATGAGGTGATAGGTTTTAGGTTTAGGGCTTTGGGAGCAAGAGATATAGCAAAGACAATATGCAGAGCATGTTCCTATGTACATCCACGCAAGCACCCGTCTTAGAAAATGCTGCAGTGTAGCACCCATATACATTGGCCTCATAACTAAGCTCTGGGCTACCAACATTAGAGGGGGAGTCTTAATCAGCCAGGGCCCTGTCCCTTAGCCAGCCGGAGGAGAGGCTGATGTGGTAGAAGCTGGGGCAAGGCCACCACCCACATGGGATTGGGAGTAGCTGTGAAACTACTGTCTTCCTCGCCAGGCTATGGGGTATGTGGCTGCTGTTACTGGGTGCTTCAGGATGCCAGCACCACTGAGGGCTTCTAGGTTGGAGGAGCAACAGTAGGAATGGAAAGGAAATGCTGGCACTCTACTTTAGCACTGTGGAGGCAATGGGGAACTGCGGGTAGGGTCAGTGACAAAGGGCTCCCTGCCTGGCTGCTGCAGGAAGAAATACATTTCCTCTGCAGCACAGCTGCTTGGAACCCTTGGCTGGGCCCTGTTACCTCCACTGGTTGGGGAGGACTGGTTTGGAAATCAGCAAGCAGTGGGCATGAGTCCACTGTTTTTGCCCAGGGACAGTATGTGGTCCTGCAGGGAGCAATCACATTTCTCAGCTTTCTGCTAGCTGCCAGGGAGCCAAGCCTCAAGCTTGTGCTAGAGTCTGAATGATTTCTAAACCTGGCCTGCTTATCTGGGGCTCTCCAGACACCTGCCTTCTCCCACACTGCCGGCCCCCATGAAGCCCTAGACTCCAAGCTCAGATCCCTCCGCGGTACGCGGTTGTGCTCACCATTCCAGGCTCTAGGCTGTGACGCCATGGTTCTCGCTCCTGTTGTCCAGGACCACAGAGGCTGTGGGGCTGCCCACATTGAGTTAAAATCTTACAGTTGAGTAAGTCACAATGTGGGTTCCTCCCACCACACCCTCCCTCACCCCAGCACCAGGGCTTTCCTTGGAGCCCATTGCCACACCACTCTGCTTTTGAAAAAGAGAGAAAAGGGAACTGGTATTGGGTCTTGAGTACAATGAGATGCTCAAGGAGAAGCTATGAACACAAGCGCTTCTGAGGGCGGAGAAAGGGGAACCCGGAACAGGCTACAGATCATCCTTGCCAGAGCCCTAAGCCCTTTCCTCAGCTCTGAGTGTGGTTTCTTGCATTGGTGGTGCTGCTCTGCACCCAATCGTCATGCCTTGGGATCCACAAATTGAGGAACCAAGAGGCCCTAGAAGTTTCCCCTACTGATAGAGTTGAGCTTTTTATCCTTCCTGTCCAATTAAATTCAATCCTACCACCACGTAGGGCAACAATTTGGCCCTTTTGGCCTGCTCAACTGCCATTGTCCACCACAGTAGTCACCAGTGTGTGTAGCTCAATATCATGAGTGCACAAAAAACCACATATATGCTTATATATGTGGAACAAGTCTGTAAAGATACACAAGCAGCCCAGCATGGGGTACAAGTTCAGGGCAATTCAATGAGCCCTTGTCCTCCCTCCTCCCCCAAAAAGCAAGGAATGTAGCTCAGTAGTAGTATACTTCCATCGTCAGTACTCTCCCCCTAATAATAAAAAGACACACAAGTAACTGTGTGTATTGATGGCTTCCAGAGAGCATGAGAAGGGCTAGGAGAGGGTTGGGAAAAGACTTTGACTTTTCATTTGAAATCTTTCAGTACTATTTGAAGTTTTTACAAAAATCATGACATTTCCTAGTAACAAAACCACATAGACAAATTATATGAAATACAATATTTTATATATTTAATAAAATATGCTGAAATAGTTTACATAAATATAAATCTATTAAATAAATAAGTTTGTATTATTCTTTTCATAGCTGTATTTCTATTCCTCCCCTTGCACTCTTTTCACCTATCTTTTTTATTTCTCTTTCCTTGCTTTCCTTTTCCTCTTGCCTTCAAAACTCACAAAACTGAATGAGAAGCATTCCTCTTTTGCTGCCTCCTTGTTCAGTTTGAACCTGAAGATTTGGAATTCCACCTATCTCTGGGTTCCCACAGAAGGGCTTGAGAAGGGCACTATGATGGGTAACAGTCCTAGACACTGCCGCTGTAGTGGTTTTTGTCAGTCCTAATTCCAGAAGAGACACCTGCCTACTCAGTGGAAATGCATGCTGCCATTTCTCCCTAGTAATTGTTCCACCTTTATGTTAATATAGGGCTGCTTAGAAAGAGGAAAAATAATAATTCAAGAAAATATGTTTGCATGAATTTTTTCTTTCCTAATTCAGAGGTTGGTGAAGGCAGGATAAATGCAGGGAGATTTGGAGAGATGGTTCAAGATTGGGAAACCCATTTAATTGCCACCTTCAGTTAAAAATCAGTAAGAGGGTCAAATGTTCTGAAAAGAGAACTATAGACACTGGAGAAAGGAAAAAAGCTCTTCAGTTTCTGGGAAACAGGTATAAGCAAGAGATTTGTTTGCTATAAGGCAGATGGGAACTTCATTCCTTAGAGTTTGAGAGCACAAAAAAGACAAGAGGTCTCAATTGATTCTCAGGCAGATAATAGCTTCTGAAGAAGGGTGGGTTTGTAAGAGTTGAGAAATAAAAGCCTTGTTGATGTGTGTAGGGGACAAGTGGTGTGGGAAAATAGCAAATTTTGTTTTACACTCAGTCTCAATGCACATGGAATAAACTGTTTCAAAGAAGGGCCTTGAATGTCTATTGGAACTTTTTTGTTGATCACAAAATCCCTGCCTCCTACCCACTCCTAAAAGATTTTAAGGACCTGACAGTGCAATAAAGAGCAAAACCCCGGACTGGGAGTCTGCAGACAGCTCGGTCTGCCACTTGCAAAATATGACCACAAATAATTTGTATGAAATGCCCTTGGAAACTGTAAAGAGTGGTTAACTGGGGTTAAGTGTGATTAATTCTTATGAAACTCAAGTTTGTCTTGGCCCTTCTCATCTCCTCCTCTTTCAAGCCCTCTTCTCTTCTCGCTTCTTGGAACAAAAGCTATTGAGCAAAAGATTTGAAAGGAATCAAATTCAAACAACATGTACTGGTCTGCAGGAGACACCTAGGCTGAAGAATTTTTTCAGCATTCTATGTTAATGGAAACCATGTTATTTTTAAAGTGACCTTCCATTCAATATTTGGAAGTAAGTGATTTACTTTTAAGGAGAAATCTGAACTTAACAAAAGGCAAAATGCCATTACATGGCTGTATTATTCCACACACAAGCCAAGTTTAAAAATACTAAATGCTTATTTAAGATTAAGTCTAGTAACTGAAGGACGTTGCTCTACAGAAGGGAGAAGAGAAATATAACCTCCATACAGTACCCCTCAGCAACCTTTTGGACCGTCTTTATGGCTTCAAGTAACCCAATTTCTGAGGACAGTTAGCTAAGATATTTGCTTGCCTCCTCCTCACTCCCCCAAATCAACTCATCACCAAGTTCCATGGACTCTGTCTCTACAATCTATCTAGCATCTGACCATTTTTTACGACTGGCACTGCCACCACCTCAGTCTAGGCTGCTATCATTGGCAGAAGCCTCCTATGTAGCCCCTACCGTCTCTCCTGATCCTCTCTACATAGCAGTCAAGTTGGTTTCATTCATTCATTGGAACCTAAGGTCTTGTGCATGCTAGGCAAGTGCTCTATCCCTAAGTTATACTCCTAGCAGGGGCAGTAAGCTTTTGAAAAGAGCACTCTGGCCATGTGTCCCTTCTGCTTGAACCTTGCAGGGGATGATTCTTTGGTTAATGTCTGCCTACTTCTCTTAACTGAAAGGTCCATGTCAGCAGGGTCCCTATCTGTTTTGCTCACCTCTGTATCCCCATGCCTGGCCTCTGTATCCTCTGGATTGTTGAGTCTGGTATGTAGTAAACATTTATTTGTCAAATGAAGGAAAAGTTTTAATAGCCAGAAATCATACAGGTCTTTAAAGGTAGTGACCATCTCACTTACTGCTCAGAATAATCCTGTGTTATAGATATTACTGTTCTTTTATAGAGGAAATAGAAGCTCAGAGTATTTCCCACACTGACAGTGTTAATGTAGCACATACTGTAATACAGGACAGTGGGCGTCAAAACCCCATACTTTCAGTCCACACCTTCTTGCCAGAGAGCTACAGGGACTCTGAAGGCATGAGGAGTCCAGAAGGACTTTTATATTTCTTTTCATAAGATGCTATTTCACTTAGGCAGACCCTGTATGACCCTGTCAACTAGTGAGAGGATTTCTAAATTAGGCTTTCTTAGGTGACTTAAAGAGCTACTCTAACTAGAGTGACCTTATTTTCTGCATTGCAAATCATGATTCTTGGTCTGACAAACAGAATAGAATACTTGAAATTGGGACTTTTCTGGATAATCCAGGGCATGGAGTTGCTATACCTGTACCACATGGCAGCTACATAATGGACATTTCTTTCTTTCTCATAGTTGAATGAAACAAGCTGAAAACAGTGACAAAGTTTATTTGAAACAATGGGGGTGATGTATAAGGGAGAACCTGGCTCTGCAGAATGAAGTTGGACAGAACAAACGAGAGGAAAAGTTAAAAGCAAATATAAAAGTACACCCTGGGGGGACACAGCGGGGTATGTTGCAAGAAGCATGATAGCCCATAACTGACGTTTCTCAGTGAATTCTGTCCCAGCTGCCTGATTCATCATCACATCTCCAAAAGATTCCTTTAAAACACCCACTAAACTGTTTTTCAGCCTCACACCAAATTCTTTCTACTTACTCTTTTTATGTGTTGCTTAATTACTTCCCTTACTGGCTCTTATCATTTTTGTTAGCAGTCTTCTTCCTGGTCTGCCTGAGAGAACTTCTAGGTCCTGCTTGCTGAAAGTGCTATAAATTGTTGAAAGCACGAGCAAAAAGTGCATGGGAACCATGGCAACAGGGACCATAGCAATGGGGCCAAACACTGAGAAACAGCACTTCTCCCCGCTCCTGGTTTCTACTTTAGACCAATGGTCCTGATAAAGTCTGATGGCCCCATTGTATCATCTAATCAGGCAATGCTGCTGAAAGGATGTGTGGAGGCAACATTTTGGTTCCAGAAAGAGCTTTACAATGCTCTTACTTTGCTGTGCCTCATGTCACAATGGTGAACTCCTAGTAATGGCTATTGCCAAAACCAGGGCTCAGTCTAGTGTTTACCCCACATACCCTGAACATTTGGTCAAGTTATACCCAGAATGCCCCACTAGGACCTGTATTAGGGTGATAATAGCAAAAATTCAGTTGTCAAGGAAGACAAGAATTACGATGTTGCCCAAGAGACCCACTCTATACATTTATGCTGTGTCTTTCAGAAAACAGGCTTTCAGTGAATTGAGATGCACAGTCTCTCCCTGTAGAATTTATCTACCTTGAATGTACCTGGTGTCCCTGAACAAAAGAGTAGGCTCTGTTGTGGTTGTGAACCTCTCTGAGCCTCAATTTCCTTATCTGCAAGGAGGAACAGTTGCAATCTCTGCCCTACATTGCTTTTCTTCTGGTTTTTTAAGATGGTGAACTATTTAAAGCACACAGAAAATTATTAGTAACAAGTACATTCCCCCTCCAAAAAAATCCAAATACATTTCCCCCATTTGCTCTAGAGCCTTTTTCCTAAAAAAAAGACAAAACCCCAAAAAACAAAAACAAGAAACTGTTTAAGGTCCAACCAAGGCTCCTGGAACCTCCTCAGTCCTTCTACCCCACAGAGGAAGCAGTATCTTGAATTGGGTGTCTCTGATTCACACATTTTAAAATGTGCTGTGTATGTGCTCATGAATAGTAAACTATCCTTTTGCAATGGGGGGATTGAACCCAGGGCCTTTGCACTGAGCCATCCCCTTATTTATTTATTATTTATTTATTTATTTATTTATGAGGCGAGGTGTCATTGAGTCACTAAATTTTTCAGGCTGAACTCAAGCTTGTGATTCTCCTCCCTCAGCCTCCCAGAGTGCTGGGATTACAGGGATAATCCACCACAAGAAATTGTCTGTTCTTAAACTGAATATATTGTATCAAACTATACATATCCTTTTGCAGTTTACTTTCTTTGTTATACATTAGGTTTGTGACAAATATTTGTGTTGGGGGCTGGGAGTATAGGTCAGTGGTAGAGTGATAATCTAGTACATACAACACCCTCGGTTTGATCTCCCAGCTCTGAAAAAAAAAAAAAAAAAGAAGGTAGAAAGACAGAAAAAAGAAATATTCAGTGTTGATACATGTAGCTTTAGACATATTGGTCCTGTGTAGTATTCCACTGTTTGAATCTAGCCTGATTTTATTTATTTATTTATTATTTATTTATTTCTCAATTTTTTTGCTACGAAAAACAATGCTTTTGTAAATATTCATGGTATATGCTCCTTCATTCACTTACATAAGAGTTTTTTCTAGGGTATAAATGCAAGAGTGCAATAGTTGAAGTATAGGGCAGGAATATATATTTTAAGCCTTTTGGGGAGGGCAATATTTTGGTACCTACCCAAAGTAACTATTCACAAACCATTTGATCCAGTACTTCTCAAAATTATACTAAGGAAGCATTCATGCATGCAGACAAAGATAAATGTACAACAGCCTTCACTGCTCATTGGTAGTGATAGGGTGAAATTGACATGATCTTCAATGTCCATCAGTGAGGAACTGAGGTAGAAAAATAATCTGCGGGCTATCCACCCCATAGAATATCATTGACTTTGGGAGAAAGTCCCCTTCTCCCCTTCCTCCTTTACAACTAGACTTCAGGAATAACGTCATTTGCAGCATAGGGCTAGGGGTCCAGGAGGCAATTTGTAATCACCTGGCTACTAGGTGGAGATATCCTCATTATTGCCACATGGGAAGCTGGCCAGAGTCCCACATCTGCAGGCAAGGCACTTTTCCTAGCAATCAACTCCCAGAAAAATGGGGAAATAGTCCAGAGAATAAAGCAGAATTCAGAATGTAGAACTATCAGGGAGATAGGATTCTTAAGTACTGTACTTTAAAGGAACATTATAAAATTGACTGTTCTGCCTTATCTTAAGTTAAACAACTAGCAGAAAGAAAAAGCATTTCCTTATAGTTATGAACATCAATAAACGGAAATATATCTGGTGCCTGGCTTTGTGTTGACTTGAGAAATCCAAACTTATCTCTAGAAAGGCAACTACATTTATTAGTCACATACCAGAAGCTTTAATTTTTAAAAATGAGTTTAAGAATCATAGTAAGCCTCTAATATCAGCATTCCAGAGGATGATGCGGGAAGATCATGTGTTTGAGGTCAGCCTGTGATACACAGGGAGGTCAAGCCCAGCCAGGATTATGTACTGCGACTCTATTAAAAAGAAATCACAATAGTAATTCCTCTTGAATATCTTTATGCATTAGACACTGCAGTGGGCATTTTGCATTCTTTGTCTAGACCAGTTTTCACAACATTGAAAAACAGATGTTATAAGCTCCATTTTACAGGCAAGGAAATGGAGGGGCCAAGGAACTGGCTAAAGCTGGATAGTTAGTGATAGTCAGAATTTAAACTCAGATCTGTCTGAGGACAAAACCTGTGTTCCTCTCAATATTTAACCTGTACACTTGTAGACAGAAGTGTAACAGTAACCCAGTTAACTAATTTGCTGAATTTTGCCTTCAGTCTAGTTGTATGTCAGTGAAGAATCCTATGATACTCAGCTTACTTGCCTCATTCACAGGCCCCTACTGAATAAAGTGGACAGAGTGAATCCTCCATTCTAGATTACTATTTACTCATTCAACAACATTTTGTTGAGTGACTACTTTGTGCGAGGCACTGTTCTTTAGGTTACACAAAAATAGACCAGAGAACCTGTAGCTAAGTCAAGAATAGCCATCTTTCATTTGGGTTGTCAGGACTCAGTGGCCTGTAACAGGCTCTGCACTGAAGATTCAGGCTAATAGGAGTTTCCCAGACTGACTGCAATGTGACCAGTTGATCCAATGATATCTCCTCTCATAGGGAACATGGTTGTGAAAGACACACAGAGGAACACGTGCAGCGAGGTAGCCTGGCAGCCAGGAGAAGCTCAGGGAAACATAAGGGAGCAGAAGTCACAGGGTTTGGGGAAAGCAAAATCATGGGGAGCAGCAAGACAGGCTGAGATGGATGCAAGTGGAGTGGTGGACATAGTGAATGTTGCACTTGTCTTGAGAGTGATCCTGGGGCATCAGCTGTGAAGAAAAGTAGCTATTAGTGATAGCTTCCTCTCCTTCACTTGTGCATGAATACAGACTACACACTCTGCTACCCAAAGAAACCAAATTTCACTCTTGTTCTTGCACCTCAAAGAGCTCACCTACAGCTCAGAGAGCGTGGGCACAGAGCCACGCTTCACAAGTGCATGCTTGCATTTCTCAAGCTGGGCCTTGACTTCTGCATTTTGTCCTCTTGCTGTGTATGTAAATGTGAGAAAAATGGATGAAAATATACTTTGCTGGTGATCCCTGTCTGCAGCAGAATGCCAATGAGGCTTGCTGGTCCTGGCTTGTGATATGCATAAGTAGGTCCAGAAACAGTTCCATGTGAAGCTGGAAGAGGACGGCAGGTACCAAAAGAAACTCTTCACCTATCAAGCAGTTGCACCCTGTGGATTTGTGAATCATCCACCTTGTGGGTGCTGCTAGATACTTAAGGTGTTGAGGACACAGTGCTTCTTGGCTACTTCCACCACTGGGGCTATTATGTGGTCCTCTGCCACACTCATAAGGGAGAACAGAGAACATCTGTCTTCCGTTACTATACCCTCACTTCCCTACCTCCTGCTCCTACCGTGTCCCCCAAGCACAGAGTACAAAGGTCTATTTACACTGATGGGGAATCTTTTAGAGCTTTGAATAAGAGCAAACAGCTGGCTGGGGCACACACACATAGGTTCACCACTATTGGTCCATTTCATGTTGTGCTGGGGGCAGTGATATGGAGGAAAAGGCACTCTCCTATGAGGTACATGGGAAGGTCATGTGGAACAACTTCTTTGGAGGGCAACTCGGCATTAGTTGTCAAAAATTCATGACAAATGGGATTACATCAAACTAAAACACTTCTGCCCAGCAATCAGAAAGTAATCGACAGAGTGAAGAGACAAAATGTAGAATAGGATGAAATATCCACAAACTGTGTATATGACAAGGGGTTAATATTCAGAATACAGAAAGAACTGAAACAACACAATAGTCCCAAACCCCAAATAATCCAATTAAAAATGGGCAAAAGAACCAAATAGATACCTCTGAAAAGAAGACATACAAATATGGCCAATGGGTACATTAAAAGATGCTCAACATCACTAATCATCAGGGAAATGCAAATCAAAACTGTAGTGAGATATTACCTGCTCCAGTTAGAATGGCCATTAGCAACAAGAGAGAAGATAAATGCTGGTGAGGATGTGGAAAAAATGGAACTCTCATGCACTATTGGTGAAAATGTAAATTAGTACAGCTTTTATGGAAAACAATATGGAGGCTCCTCAAAGACTTAAAAACAGATCTATAATATAACTCAGTAGTCTCACTACTGGGTCCCAAAGGGTAGGAAATCAGTATGTCAAAGAGACATTTGCACCCCCATGTTTATTGCACCATATTCAAAATAACCAAGGCATGGAACCAACTTAAGTATCCATCAACAGGTAAATGGATACAAAAATGTGGTACATATGCACACAGTGGACTATCATTTAGCCTTTAAAAAGAAGGGAGTGCTGTAATTTGTGGCAAAATGGATGGGCCTACAGGTCATAATGTTAAATAAAATAAGCCAAGCATAGAAAGATAAATACTATGTGATTTCACTCATGTAGAATCTAAAGAAACTGAGTTCATAGAAGTAAAGAGTGAAACTGGGGGCCAAGGAGGCTGAAGAGATATGAGGAGATTGGTTAATGGGTATAAAGACACATCTAGATAGGAGTCCTGAGTATGGTCAGAAAGGTGATTACACTTAACAATATCACACCATATGGACTGGGGATGTCACTCAGTGATAGGACAGTTGCCTAGCATGCATAAGACTCTGGATTAGCCTAGCACCACACTGTGTATCACTAAGCAAAATTGTATCATATAAATTAAGATAATTTGAAAACAATATTTTGAGTGCTTTCATTACAAAAATGATAAGTATTTAGATGATGGAGAAGTTAAATATACTGAATTGATCATTGCACAATGTATACAGTACCAAAATATCACACAATACAACATAAATATGTATAATTATTATCTGCCAATTAAAAATGCAAATGCACGTGCCTGTGCACCAGTTCTACTTCCAAGGATTTACACTACACATATACTGTGTATAATGACACATGAACAAAGATATACATTAAAGTACTATGTATAATAGCAAAGTATTGATAACAACTGTCCTTTAATAGATGATAGGTCAGGAGGCTGAGGCAGGGAGATCACTGCCAGTTCAAGGCCAGCCTGAAAAAAAAAGAAGAAGAGGAGGAGGAGGAGGAGGAGGAGGAGAAGGAAGGAGGAGGACGAGGAGGAGGAGGAAGAATAAGAATGAGGAGGAGGAGGAGGAGGAGGAGGAAGAAGAAGAAGAAGAAGAAGAAGAAGAAGAAGAAGAAGAAGAGGAAAGGTTAGATAAACTGGAGCCTGTTTGTGCAGCAAACAGTGAGCAGTACCTCCCCTGTGATACTCATTTGAAGTTTGGGAAGCTGCCTAGTGACATACTTTATGTAGACATCTCACTTTGTTATTTAACTTCCATGGAATTGTTTAATGAAAATGTAGATACCTACTTTCTTGTTTACAAAGTATTTGCATAACTATGGCT